GGAACATTTATTAACACTTCATATCATCTGCATCAAAAACAAATGTAAATATATACACAAACAAACGCACGGGAAATAACGAAAGGTCGCTCATATACCTGCACACTCGCAGTGACCGACGATTAACGCGAGATCGACTGGGGGAGGCGGGGGGGGGGGGTCGTTGAACCGACGTTCCGTTCATGGCCATAAGTTCGACCTCATCCACGACCAGACGGCGTTTAGTGATAGACGGAACCGGAGACCCCGTGTTGTTGTCGTAGTTGTCCTCCATTGTAAGTGGTAGTCGACGGAAGAACTGACCAGGCCCCATGCCTGGAGCAAAAAAAAACTGGATCAGTTCCAAGATTTTTTTTCTGTTGGGAGCTATTTTCGCAAACAACACAACTTTCCTTCAGACCAAGAAGCGCGATTTGCCAAAATCGGAATATGAAGCACTTAAACAATATAAGATAATGTCAAAAGATACAACGTGTCAGACTCACCAAAGTCGATCAACGTCGGTGTCGGTGGCATGTGTCGGTGGCAAATGCTCATGTACCACCCGGCCCCGAAGCACTTCATTTCACTTCACTGCACTGCTGCACTGCACTTCCCTCCACCTCACTGCCTCCCGGAGCAGGGGCACGCACTCCCATGCCACGCACGACGGATTCCACCGATAATAGCTGCTTTAAGCTATCATTCCAGAGCTATCACTCGGTGGCATGTGCCCGGAGCACTTCACTTCACTTCATTTCACTTCATATACCGGAGCACGTGCACACACTCCCACCACGACCAACGGACTCCACTAAAATGGCGCAACACGTGGCCGGAAACAGCTGGCACGCGCATGCGCATATCGCTCTGCGCCGTCAAAAGGTGCTAAAGGGCTGGTGATAAGACTCCCAGAGATTTGTAAAGCAGGGCTTAGCTACTTTCTTTGGCGCCAATTTCAAATTTGTTTCCTCTGTAAGCATGTCCGGTTCTATTGTGATACTAACGTAAGCACCATATTCAGCATTACCAACTTCTAAAACACTTAAAATGGTTCTAATTAGAAATCCAGCTTGAAAGAGCACTCACTGATGGACTGGGTACTAGCAGAAGTAGACGTTAAGCTCAGTAGAAGAATAGGTGATCTAAACTTATAATATTTGATGGGAATGTTAGCTATCATTAGCACAGTATTAGCACCATGCTTCTTTGTAAATACGTCGTAGGGTTCTTTTGACGCTAAAAGGTGCTACGAATAGCAGCCGTTAGTACCCCAAATGCTGAACTTTTTTTACAGTGCAAGGTCCAGCAGTCATCCGCTAGGCCAGCCAAGTTGCCGGTAACACGGCGGCAGAGAGGACGGCCGGCGACAGCCGGGATGACCGCAGACAGCGCAGCATGCAGCAGTTCTCGGAGCTCTCTCAGGTCGGGTTCGTCCATGGATGCCATGATACAGCACACCGCAGCTGGGTCGTAGCGCCCACTGAAAATGCAATCCGACTCAGCGATTAGACGTTTCTTGTCGGCTGACGTCGCACTAGTGGGGATCAGCTGGTCCAGGGTCGGCGCCCTCGCGCTCGTCATCACCCTGTCGTAGGATGCTTTGTCGTCATTCTCGCCGGTATGCGTAGAGTTAGTCGCACTCGTCAGCTGTTCGGGGGTCGCGGTAGGCTGATTGGTGAGAGGAGAGGTAGGACAAAAAATGCTCTTCGGTACAGTTTCTTCAGCGTCCGTAATCGTTGATGCTACGATTTTTGCCTTGCTTATCCTGCTCCGTTTGGTCTTTCTCGCCACAACCCATTTTCCCACTGTTTGATCGTAGCCACTAACCGAGGTGTCAGAGTCTGACATTATTGGCTATAAGGATCTCTCTTCAGAATTAGCACGAGGCTTACTACTAAAAATCTAGAGCAGAACTAACGCGGTGGTGAGTCTAAAATTTCAAAACTGGGTCAAAATAATCAATTTTTTAAAGCCTATAATTCAATTATTTCACCATTCAACTCAAATGCAAATACCACCAAAATATTCTACGTTAAATTAAGATTCGTTTCATGCTTATCTCAAAGTCATTATGCGGGTCCATTACGCCAAAATAGGCAGTAAACTAGAGCACTGCTAAACACGTCTGCTCATTCCAATAAAGTATGTTATGTTTAGGGCAATCAATTAGGGCAATAATAGGGCAATAATAGTTAATAATAGTTAATAATAATGTTATTAATAATATTAATATTGATATATTATATATAATATATATATATATATATTAATATTGATATATTATATATTAATATATAATATTAATATATAATATTAATATTAATATTGCTATTAATAATATTAATAGTTAATAATAGGGCAATAATAATTAGGGCAATAATAGGGCAATCAATCACCCCATATTTAGATGAGATCTAAATTGAAGGGCCTCTCAAATTCAGCCGACACCTCTGGATTTCTATTCACGGTTAGATCCTGTGGATACGTCAATAGTTGTTACACAAAGGACAGTTTAAACACGCATGTGTCAATGCTCCGAGCATCTAGGATGGGAAAATGGTATGTGCGGGCGAGGGTTAATGCGAGGCTGGCGGCAGCCTTGTTACGTTGCCGTAAAATGAACTTGCCTTATTTCAGGAAGCGCTAGTGAACATTCAAGAAGAGAAAAAGGAGCGAAAAGCATCACTGAAGAAGTCAGAAAAAGAGGAAAAGGGCAAAAATAAGCGGCTGTCAACATCGGCGAAATCGACATCGAGCAGGAAGAAGGAAAAGCCTCGAGATCCGGTGATACGGTGTTTCTTTACCATCGAGCTGTACAGAAAACCCCAGCCGGATTCTGACGTCGAACTGGTGACTTACATGCCGATTGATGATCTGTACTAAACTACCAAACTCTCTAATCATTGATGAATTTTTTGCTGAAAGCTTATCGCAGTAGCTCGTATCTAAAGAGTGTCTGTAAAGAGACACAGCTACCTCAGTTTATCCTCTCCCTCAGTCATCAGTCATTAGCGGCAGAAACTATATGTACCTACAAAACTCAAACCATTGAGCAATATTAGCATTACACACATACCTGACGGATAAATATTTGTTTGCAGTTACACGAATAAACCTTTGCTTAGCAAACGGCAAGTCGATCGCGCGAGATAGCCTTCGGTCTACGATCAGCCGAGTTCATGACTTCGCGCCTGTGAGAATTGATATCCGAGAACATTAATGGGAAATACCATTTTGGGGCGATAACTGACTTATCACCACTGAACGATGCGTCCATTTTTGATCCTTCCCATCCTGGAACTGTTCTATTAACGCGTCATCCTCCGAATTCCATCATTTTTAATGGTGAGCGTGATCTGTAATCGTACGTGACTCACGCGCTAAGCACCCAACAGCCGCCGGCGCGGCGGTGGCCGCCGCTCGGCGTGGGTCACCGGACAGGGGACGAGTCGCGACATGCAACCGGGCTGGCAGTCTGAGGGCGGCAGCAACAGCGCGGGAGGCGACCCGGCGGCCGGCGGCCCCGTATTGGGGTCACCAGCGGGACGCGCTTCATTACGACTCAGCAGGGGGCGAAGGCGCGCCCCCGGCGCCGACAACGACGACAAAGGCGGTGGTGGCGGCGGCCGCGTGAGACACGGTACCTGGCTCAGGGTGTCGTGGACGCGCCGTCATCGACCCACGGCCGTCACCGACCGGGCTCAGTGGGCGCGGGGCGCGGTGCGGATTGTGAATTGTGAGACGGCCGAACGGGGACAGAAACATTGCGACGGTGGAGGGGAGGGGAGGGGACGGACAGCAAGTACGATCACTGGGAGGAAAAAGAAACCAACTGATCTCTAATGGTGTTCTTAGCAATTAGCTGAAAGCTGAAATCGTTACTGAATCTCAGAGATCAGGGTAGACGGTAATGCGTTTTAGAGAAGTTATCTGTTGCTATGCATGCATAATAACAGAAGAATACAGTTCTTCGAATGGGTTTAGTGTGTTCCGGAGAATTTATGTAGCTTAGGAGGTGCTGTCTCTTGCTGACACAGCTTACTAAATGAGAGCTTAGCGTTGGATGTGATTATAAGCTGACAGTTAAGTAGTTCTTGCCATTACTGAGAAATGAATTAACATGATGCGACTGTTTCGGCAATATGCAGGTGAAGGTAAAGTCATACAACGTGAAAGTCAGGTGAATCCACGCGGTTCCCATATGCACATTTCAAATTAGCTGTTAGACCCTGATTTTGGTTCTAGCGCATCGGAACCATTGCATTACAAATTTGCAATGAAAAATCGTTTACCGGAAATGTTGAAAGTTCATAATTTTTCAATATTGCTTCGATAATATTTTGGGTGTTACTACACACAAACTAGACCATTTGATTAGTTTTGTGAGTGAAAGGTCACATTTCTGGCACATGATTCATACTCCTGCATCCTAGCCCCATCTTGTATTTGACCCCATATCGCAGGAATTCCCGCGCGGGCTTGTTTGGTGATATCTCCCTGGTCTGTCATACAAATGGCTGCCGACAGCGGGTGCATTTATTGGTTTCAGCACAGTCAGCATCACGATCAGCTGCAGTCTGAGCCATTGTCCCCGTCATTCTCCCTCATTGTCGTTCCCGTGCCATCCCTGCCATCCCTTACACCTCTTCCCTATCTCCTCTTCCTTCTCTCATGCGTGTCTCTTTATCAGGCTACGCACATGCCTGCGTGCTGCGTGCCAGTCCCTGGAACGCTATTTGCTGCGGCGCCGTGGATATTTTCTGCCAGTAAACAATAGGTGCCGCTCGCTGTGCGCTGTGCGTTCTGCGCCGCTATAGGCATATCGGCTGTCTCGCCGACCGACCCACCCGACCCGACCCGGCGCCCGCAGGCAGGTGTCTACCGCCCCCCCCCCCCTCCCTCACCCGCCCTCCCCCAGGCCGAGCGGCCGGCGCGGCGGCGAGTCTGTGCCCTGCGGCGGCCCGGGTCGGCCGGCAGTGCCCCAGGCAGTGTAGTCGGAGCGGCCGCTGGGAGGGCGCACACCGCGCTCGGTGGAAGACCTGCTCCCGGTGTTGTTCCTGCATACGTGACTGGGAGTGTGAGACAGGTTTTTTCGACGTGCAGTTTTATCAGTGAGGGTCAGCGAACAACCGACACTCGTTCTTGTGGTGAGGGCTGCCGGAATGTGTGATACCTATTCCCAAGTGTCAGCAGAGGGACTGACAAGAGCCGACAGTAGCGTGCGCGGCATTTCGTCGGGGTCGGGTGTGGTCACCGCTGTCTGAATTAGGTGGTCGTGAGACGTGTGAGCGGTAAAGGTGACGTGACGGTGACGTGACGGTGACAGTGACAGTGACGTGCCGGTGACAGTGACGGTGCATGATGCCGGTGACAGCAGTCAGGCAGCGGCGGAGCGCGCGTGACGGCCGCCTGTCAGCCGCTCAGTAAAGCTGTCATCCCGGCGCAGCAGTGTCACGGAGCTTGGCAGGGTGAGTTTGGGGGGGGGGGGGGGCATCCCTGGGGCATACCAGTGGGGGTGAGTGCTGTGTGGAAATCAATAGCGTGACATCGACTCCGCTAGGCATAACTCGCATTCCTCATTATAGTTACTTTGCTAGCAGAAGGTCAACACATGTGTGACAACAGTGTCAACACAACATCAACTCTGGAAAAATAACTATGATTTGTGGATGTTGCCAAAAACCTTTTGCACCAATGGCTAGATTCTGTTGCACAAAACACGCACTCCAAGACTCAGCCGTGAATATTTACCTATAAATTCTACCAGGCACCTGAAGTTTTACCGTTTTTCTTATGAGATGGTGCATCATAATTTACAATCGTAGGGTAGCTAACTACGAAAAAAGTTTGCCGATTTACCAAGCTAGGTAAATCTTGAGTAAAGGATTTACTCAAGCTAGGTATTTTTTCAATATCCTTTTATACATTTTCATACAAGAGCCCCTTTTCCGAATTAACCCGCGCCCTGGCGGGGTCCGGTTATAACGCGAGGTGTGGGGGGTGGGTGCTATTTTTTGCCCCCCCCCCCTCGTATCTCCGAAACTACTGGACGGATCCGCAAAATTCAAACGGCGTTCGAAAGCCCAGTCAAATTGGTCGAGGAAAATCCAATTTCATTGACCTCGGGGTCACCGATGACGTCACAGGTCAGGTCAAAGATAAAATGTTTTGCCGGTCACGGGTCTTCTAGAGAATGCGCTATAACATCGAGTAAAACGCATTTTATCGAAAATAAGCGCTGATCTGATTCAGCGCTGATTTAAAAAAGGGTCGAAAACGGCAGAACATGGCGTCACTCTGACGTCATTTGTGGCCAACCTAACGCCTTTGGAAAAAAATTGGTCTCAATGTGTACAATTGATGCAGCGGGAGGGTACTGAAAGTTTGGTGACGATCGGCGCAGCGGCTCTGGAGAATGGAGATGTATCAAAAAGTCTGAAGGGGGGAATAGCCCCCCACAAGGGCACGGGTTAAATCTGCTCCCACATAATGCGATGAACTTTGACTCTGGCACATGTGTGGAAAGCAGACCTCCCTCTTTCTCACTTGACTGCGTTCTGATGTGTAGTGTGCATTTGGTGTGTATGGCTGCAGTTTTCCATGGCTGTGTCTCACGGCTTTCTGCGACGCGCTGCTCGCCCTCCTTTCCTCTCCCTTCTGCAGTCCCGTCCCCTAATTACCCTCGCCCACCAGATCAGCCTCGTCTCTAGCACCACTCCGCTCAGCTCGTATGTGAACAGACACGACGATATGCAGCGAATTCAGTCTACTGACTTGCAATAGATATTTGCGACTGCATGATGCAATGTAGACATAAATCATACAAAAGTAGCCGTTTGCTTGCTGAAGAACGTGAAATTTGTAACATCAGTAAGAATATCGAAGGTGCCATGCTTTGCAATCAATAAAAGACCCCGAGAGTTCAATGATATAGGATACCAAAGGAAAAGCAAGGAATCTTGAAATGCTAATCGAAAATCCTTATCGAGATAAGACACTGCAGCCAATTCCAACAGAATTTCGTTGGTTGTTAGCAGATGTTTAAGGTCTTTGGGTTTTCTAGAATCTAGAATTGGACTCATTTTAGGAAAAGCAAACCCCAAGTCGCCGAGGTACTCCCGGAAAATGTCACCATTATGCCTTTACATATGGCTTGCGTGGATGTTCGTAAAGGCTTGGCTTTTATTCGTGCGGGTGTGTGTTGGTGAGCGCACCTTTGGATCGTTTTCTTTTTTAAATATAATAAATGATGTTTTATCCGTCATTAGCATACCCATGGACTGGGCAAAGCAAAATTAGATCTGACATTGAATTGAAATGCTTTCCACAGGTCTTTTGTAAGACACAAAGCCCATGTAATATTTGAAACATGGCGCTTTATATCCTGACCGGCCCTCATAAATAATTATATTGTAATTCTGACACCGTTTACATCAGCACTCGGGTGACGAATGTGCGGCTGGTGCAGGCTGCGGCTGTCACCCTGTCGCGGTATAACTCATCTTATCAGGGCGCTATGAAGGGCGGCTGCGGCGCACAGTGGGCGCCGGTGGATCCATCACTGTAATGGACGCCCGGACCCGGGGGCGGGTCACTGGGTCGGTCCCACACATACACAGCGCAGTCCCACCGGGACCGTGCAGACGGCCGTGTGGCAAGACCGGGTCCTCCTTATGGCCCTTACGACACCTCAGGCGCAAAGTTGTCGAAAAGATATGGCAACATGAAGACGCGGATGAGGCCACCAAAGTGCGCCTGCAATTTTAATCTTATTGGTTTGAGAGCCTCAACTGCGCCCTTCAAAATCCAGGCTTCAAGCCTTCTGACAGCTTCCAATAAATTAATATCTTATTCGGGCAGGACATGGCCTGTGCGTGTTCACTGTTCATGCTGCTTAATTGATGGCATTGACCGCGCGTTACTTTTTCAGCAACTGTTCCGCTGTTTCAGAACTGGTGTAAGTAAGTAGGTATACAGTGCACGACGCACAGCGGACCAGACCCAGCTAGATTTAGCGCTGTAGTCGATATCTGGAAAGATTTTCGCGAATTTGCTGAAGTGAATTCTACGCTGGTATTTCCTGTACATACCTGCCCGAAATTTATATAATAAACTGCATGCCGCGTAAAGCTGCGCATCGAATGCTATGCGCTTTGTTCGGATGAGGTCAACTTAGGGGTTGACCTCAGGTGAGGGTCAGGTGAGCCACACGGGTCACAAAGTTGGTCGAAGAAAGTCATGCCGCACACCATTCGATTCGGCAGTTTTTTTCCGACTGAGACTGACCAGGCTCTGGAGGGGTGTGCTAATTACGTGCAGCTGACTGATCGATCCCACCGCGCGACTATCAGTCGCTGCACCGAGCCCACCCGACGCTGGAATGGCATGGAATGAAATGGAATGGTGTGCAGTTGCACTGTACTCATGTATTCTGCAGTCGGTGAAAGGCTTTTAATGCTGCAGACTGCTGGACATGACACTTTAATGTGGTGACACCACGTTTGTAGCCAGGCTGTGATGGGCGTGTTTTATTTGCTGAGAGTTGACACCCTTCAAAACATTGTTTGTGGTTAACTTTGGGTAAATGATGGAGGATGAACTTAAAAGATTGCACTTCAAGTGCTATCGGAGTTTCTAAAAACATCCTTAGCATTTTTCAATGATGATTCAGATGCAATATCATTTAGAGAAAATGTACCGTAGGGCTAATACCATTGCATTGGATTTCTCGAAATGAACGGTGCGAAACACTACAATGATGCACTCTATTATTGCACCAAGCTCCGACAGGACTGACCTGTGTCTTACAACATTAAATCTCGAGCAGCTTTATCAGCAATAGGACATAGGTCTATTCGAGAATCATCCACGCATTATTCAAGCTTCTCCCCGAGAACGGTCTGAGCCCACCACCGGGACTTAACGACGTTGTTAGCGAGGAGCATTTTAGGTGAATTACATGCAATGGACGTTGGCATAATAGCAAAAAACGTGCGCTTCTGATCTTAACATACATTATTCTCGAGTCCCTGTCCCAGCAGTAATAAATGCGCTGGGAGTAATAAGTACGCTGTCCCAGCAGTAATAAATACACATAGGTATACCTATGCCTGTTGTGTGCTTACCATAATCATATACTTAACATTTTTTTTTGCCGCTGTTGCCTGTCGGCAGGACGGGGCCGCTCGTTTCGATAAGGGTCTGGTCATGACCCCATTATAGGTCGGTGCGATGACGGCGCTGGTCGGCCGCGCGAGCCCTCCTCTCCCGGATGTATGGCCCGTGAGATAGGACTTAGGAGAGCCCAGCAGAGCGGCGTTCAGCCAAGGGTTCACAATTCACATGGCATAGGGTGCAGTGGCTGACAGGCCAAGGTATCGGACCTGGCCTATGTATTTGCCTATTCGTAGGTCTCGAAATAATAATGTCACTGTATTCAAATCCAACCGATGCAGTTTGCGTATTATGGCCACCAAATTTTAATGTAACAAGCCACGCTCACTTTGAGGTTCGTCTTCGAACATCAATTTGGCACCATTTTAACTATGAAAATCCGCCGTAAGCTCGGCGTTACCCCGGATGCCGTATCGGTGAAGCCATCAATAGCTGACGGACAGATGAATTGGCGGCTGCTCACCAGTCGAGGCTCTGGGGCGGCGACGGCTCGTGATCGATCGCTCTGTTTGGCCGTGCGCTGAGGCGTTTTCGGCGCACCAGAGACGTGGCGCGGCGCCGCAGTCTGCCGTCAAACCGGCGTGTCGGCGCCAGTCGAGGGTAAACACGCCGCCCAAGTCGAATCAGCCGCAGCGACCGTTATTGCCGCCATGTTCCATCCGATTAGTATTGGCTTCAAATTAATATATTGGGACCGGCTGGTATCGACTAATTGCGGGGATTAACTGATTGTTACGTCAATAATGGTGTTTGTTAACTAAGGGATATGCACTCATGTTGCACTCATGAAAATAGGTACCAAATTCATTCGCCTTGAAATACCAAATACCAAGTTGGTATCGGTTTGGTATTGGTATACCAAAAAGTTGGTATCCGATCGACATCTCTAGTGTGCGCCGTTACGAGATACAGTTATTGACACCCGATTATAAGGTCTTAGGTCAACCGGTGACATCTTACGTCAGGTCAAGTGCCAAAGTTATGGGTTCAGTTTTTGATGAATAACTTGGCTAAAAGAGGCCGCAAAGCCGCGATTTTGACATCATCGTGTTCGCCTTGTTGAGACTTGTCGAATGATATACTTTTTGTTGGGGTTGAACTCAGGTCACGGTCAGGCCTGGGCTTACAGGTCACGAAGTTTGTCGAATGAGGTCATGTCGCATATCTTTTAATTTGGCAGGTCTTCTTAAGTCCATTGGTGGCTCTCCCGACTCGCTAGTTCAATTGGATCGGGAGTTATTGACGAAAAACTAATATGACCCTAGTGACGTCATTAACAATTCAAAAGTGACGC